ATTTCGCACTTGATATCACGGAACGAGTGTTATGCAAATGGTTAAAAGCTGTACAATTATACTCTTATCATAGAAATTTAACTAATGATTCGTGTCACACCTTAAATAAAATAGTACATTTTATCATTTAGAGAAAACCATGTGAATGAATATGGCGTTCCCTTTTCAACTTTTTTCAAGTTTTTGGAAATACCAAAATACTTACAACACTTTAAGGCAGGGTAACAAACAAAATATTAACGAAGAAATTCAACTTTGAAACTAAAATTCTGAATAAAAAAGGTGAATACGTGAAATATAGATATGTAAATTGCTGTACTCTAACTACTCTACGTACTCTACCCCTTATGGCTAACCTATGTATCGCAAGCAAAATCTTATAATTCCTGTTTTTAACTTCCGAGTCAAGAATTGTCAATGGTGTTAAAAGAAATTGAAAGAAATCAGCAGCAAAAAGCCAACGTCACGCGGTGTTCCCAGGCGGTCACCCATCCAAGTACTGACCGCGCCCGACGTTGCTTAACTTCGGTGATCGGACGAGAACCGGTGTATTCAACGTGGTATGGACGTTGGCGACGGCCTTCTCTCGTCGAGTCTATCTATCCCTCCACTAGCTCTCTGCTCAGTGACGTTAATACAACGCCTGACATTAAAAGAAAAAATGATTGCAAATATCTACATAGGTGGAGTGAGTATCTCGAAAGCGAAAATTTTTACAATTCCTGACAGTCGACAGCAGATTTACATAGAATTATCAATCGCTCATAGTGCGTGTCAAAGTTAGTAAAGGCGTGTGTGTTCCACGGAAAGTATCTCATGTACTAAAAATCGAATCATAGTCAGCTGCTTATTATGCCAATGTAGAATCGCATCTTGGATTTATGCCATTATATTCAGGGGATTTGCACTAAGAACGACATCATAATTATAGAGAAGTGCGTATTGAACAAAAAAGACTGCAGCCGTAGATCTGCTTTTGTAAGATATATGAATAAAAATAACCTTGCCTTCGTCATACATATTTGAAAGTGCCGTGTTTGTAAAATAACATGGCTCCTTTTCCCAAGATGTAGGTACATTAAATATTTACCGAAAACTAAAACAGTACTCACGGGCAAGAGTGTACTCTGTATGGCGCCTAATATATATTGTGTAAATAAAAGCTAAATAAAAAATGCTCTCGAACGAAATAAAAAATGATGGCAACGTGAAATATAGAGATGTAAATTGCTGTACTCTAACTACTTATTGAATATCTACCCCGTTATGGCTAACCTATGTATCGCAAGCAAAATCTTATAATTCTGTTTTTTGGTTAACGTCCGAGTCAAGAATTGTCAATGGTGTTAAAAGAAATTGAAAAAATCAGCAGCAAAAAGCCAACGTCACGCGGTGTTCCCAGGCGGTCACCCATCCAAGTACTGACCGCGCCCGACGTTGCTTAACTTCGGTGATCGGACGAGAACCGGTGTATTCAACGTGGTATGGACGTTGGCGACGGCCTTCTCTCGTCGAGTCTATCTATCCCTCCACTAGCTCTCTGCTCAGTGACGTTAATACAACGCCTGACATTAAAAGAAAAAATGATTGCAAATATCTACATAGGTGGAGTGAGTATCTCGAAAGCGAAAATTTTTACAATTCCTGACAGTCGACAGCAGATTTACATAGAATTATCAATCGCTCATAGTGCGTGTCAAAGTTAGTAAAGGCGTGTGTGTTCCACGGAAAGTATCTCATGTACTAAAAATCGAATCATAGTCAGCTGCTTATTATGCCAATGTAGAATCGCATCTTGGATTTATGCCATTATATTCAGGGGATTTGCACTAAGAACGACATCATAATTATAGAGAAGTGCGTATTGAACAAAAAAGACTGCAGCCGTAGATCTGCTTTTGTAAGATATATGAATAAAAATAACCTTGCCTTCGTCATACATATTTGAAAGTGCCGTGTTTGTAAAAATAACATGGCTCCTTTTCCCAAGATGTAGGTACATTAAATATTTACCGAAAACTAAAACAGTACTCACGGGCAAGAGTGTACTCTGTATGGCGCCTAATATATATTGTGTATATAAATAAAAAGCTCTCGAACGAAATAGAAAAATGAAAACACAAATTTAACTAAAAAAAAAAACGTGAAATTTCGACAGCAAAATGGTATTACAGTATAAAAGATTTTTTTAAAGAAACAATGAAATTCTCCTTGGCCAAACTTACTTATTGAATTAATAATTAAACTTAAAACGTTGAGTTTCGTTTGATATTTCTTTTTATTAATCACAGACAACCTTGTGCGGAACGTATTATTTTTGGACAACATGCAAACTAGGTGGAATATAGAGATGTAAATTGCTGTACTCTAACCCCTTATGGTTAGCCTATGTATCGCAAGCAAAATCTAATACTTATTGTTTTTAGCGTCCCATCCAATAGTTGTCAATGGTGGAAAAAGAAATTGAAAAAAAGCAGCGGCAAAAAGCCAACGTCACGCGGTGTTCCCAGGCGGTCACCCATCCAAGTACTGACCGCGCCCGACGTTGCTTAACTTCGGTGATCGGACGAGAACCGGTGTATTCAACGTGGTATGGACGTTGGCGATAAACTTTTCTCGTCGAGTCTACCTATCACTCCACTAGCTCTCTGTTCAGTGACGTCAATAGATAATTATAAGAGTATATAATCATTATAGCATTTAAATTCGGCAGCCATTTAGATACCGTCTATCCATTATGTACGTCGAGGGCCTTCCGAACGCCTATTATACACCACCGACCTTTGAATCTTAACAACCGGAACCCCGCGAAATAAAATCATCATTCGTAAACGATCTCTACATTTTCGCTTCGAGGGTGACAATTTTTAGGGGAAATCTCACTGCAAATATCGCAATGATGACTTACTTATCTTTGTTTTGCCGCTAAGTCCCTAGAAAATAGAAGAAGAAAAAAATATTTGGTAATAGTTGCAAATATTTACATAGTTAAAAAAAATGAAAAAAAAAATGCAGCAAAAAGCAATTGTCACGCGGCATTCCCACGTGGTCACCCATCCAATTATTGACCGCGCCCGACGTTGCTTAACTTCAGTAATCGGACGACATTCGGTGTTTTCAAACATGGTCTAACACCTCGTAGTCCTGTCCATCCAGTATCTTGTGCCATTATTACACAAAGAATACATTTGTACTGATACTACAGATCTCTAAGAATCTAGCGAAAATAATTAATGTTAATTAGATAATCGAATAAATAAACCGACAATTATTTATAAAAATAATCACAATCTTTATTGATCTAATATTTACAAGATTAAATCTATCTAAAATTACATATTATCTAATAAACCTAATCCACGCGGCATGGTGCCAAAAACGCTAGCTGCATTTCCTCGCTGAATAGTTATGCTTAATCTTTGAGCGAGAAAAGAACCAGCTCTCTTGTCACCAGCCGCGGCGTTAAGCCTAGGACATAACGGACCTAATGTTTCAACTGCAAATGCCACAAATACATAATCTAAACATAAAGACTCACGTTTGCGCCATTTCCTTCAGCTGCCTCCGATGCCGCCCCGGCCCTGACCGAAGTACCCCTTAGATGAGAGGCAGCCAAAGTGTCTACACAAGTGGCGTCCCAAACAAGGGCTTTGCCTCTCTCCCAAGGGATGCCACAGGGCTCTAAAATAGATGGAACATTGATGGAAACAAGAGCCCTACGGATGATCGTTCTATCGTTCAGGGAACCGTGGTGGGAAAAACGGCCAGCACTTTTTTGACAAGAAAGCCCGTGGAGACCAAATTTGTCTACACTGACACCACGAGGGCATTGGTTTGGTTGACAAATCGGTGCCCCCAAACAAAAATTAAAAAAATAAACCTCATTCAAATAATCGCAATTGTTATAATCCACCACGCGGCCCCACTGCGGATTGGCGGACTTCACATATTATCGAAATATATTTTTTTTGTCATTATTTTGAAAATATGCAGGTTTCCTAACGATGTTTTGTTCCTCACGGTGATGTTCACCGGGGAGCACGTGATAAGTCAGCAAATATACAAAACCTTTCAATAAAATGGGGAGCTAAGAATAAATAATTCAAAGTAATAAACGCATATAAACCAAAAAGTATTTGAGCGTTTATTTATCGCGACTTGAACTCTTTTTGAATGCAATATATTGTTATTAATCAAATTATACTATTCCATATACTCCACTCTAGGCAGAAAGCCCTTAGATACTTTTGTAATCGACTTCAAAAGTAACAATTATATTTAAACAGAATTCAAGAAACTTGAAAAAGTGCAGTTGGATTTGTAAACGTATTGATTTCTTTTTAAACATACACTTAACGCAAAATTATATTACTCAGTATTTTTTTTGGCTTGATGAGCCACTATTGGCCTTAGGGGCCTTTACAGATTCGACGGACTTGAGATGGCCTAGCGTACGGGGCGCCTAGCCTGAACATCAGGCACTTAGTATCTGTTAATAGATTAATATAGTTATTTTTATTATCGACACCATTTCTCCGTTTCTTGAATCATTCTGTTAGCCCATGGAATTTTATTCTGTGCTGTTACCCAGACCACCCATAAACCATAGTCTTGCCTCACCACTGTGTGCAATATTTTTTTTTAATTAAAAATGCTTCATTTCTTAAAACTATTTAGATCTAATTTGAATAAATATTATCTCTAACATTGTTTATTAAATGTTCTATTAAAAAGTACCCATGGGGCATGGATGAATTGGTAATATAAGATTACCTTTACCATACCTAAACCTATGTCTATGATACAGGTAACATTTTGTATTTTGTTGTTGTCAATTGTCATAATATCTATCTGGTAGGTATTGTATGGTATCATATAAAGCTGCCGACTTTCAAACTAATGTTAAGAAATTATAGTGCGAAGACTTACTAATATTTTTATACAATTAGTATGAGTTAAAACAATTATTCAGTGAAAAGTAAAAGGTGAATTCAGTTAAAATGGCACCGAAATTGAAATTTTCAGAAGGTTTTTCTTTCACTTCTTAATTGTTATAAATGTAACGTTGTTTCTTCTAAATGTTATAAGGGTTTTATATCATTTTAGGCGAAAAAGTATTATGTTTTCATGGACCTTTAATTTACGAAGCGAAGTGCCTCAAGAGTTCTGTAACTAAAGATAAACACGTTCGCTATTTAATTCACTACGCTGGCTGGAACAAAAAGTATGTATTTACTTTTAATCTTTATATTTATAGATAAAAGTGTATCGTAATTTTATTATTTCAGTCAGAAAATAATATTATTACATTAAATTAAAGAAAATATTAGTTTACATTGCAATTTAAAAGATATTTAAAACTAGCTTTATATTTTAATATTAAATACAAAATTGAAGAACAATGAAACAAAGTGTTATTCTTCGTTCTTTACTAAACATTTTAACAATTCATTTATAATTTTATTCTCTGTTCAGTTTTTGTTTCACCTCATAGTGCAAACTTTTGGTAATTAATAAAAGATATTACAAATTCACTGTTACAGTTGGGATGAATGGGTTCCAGAGAGTAGAGTACTTAAGTATAATGAAGCAAATGTTCAAAGACAAAAGGAGGTCCAGAGAGCTCACTCGGCACAACCAGTGAAGACAAAAAAAAGTAAATGTTTGAAATGTTGGGGCAAACATTTTTTCGACATGTTAACTTAAAATGTCACAGTATTTTCATATAATGATGTGTTCACAGCTAATGCTAAGGGGCGGAAGTCTGAAACAAGCTCAGGTACAACTCCGGCCAGAGAAGAGTCCAGGGCTTCTACACCTGCAGGTTAACACTAAATATGTAAACTTCTATTTAAAATATATGATCAAAAGTTATTCCGTGTAACTGTGATAATTTGAAGGATGATAATTTGTTCAATTGAATGTTATGTAAATTACGAAAATTCCGAAAAATAGGTATGTGCAAAGCGGCACGGTGAACTATTTCGTAACACCTATGTACAGAGAAGATCCTTTTTTTGGCTGTGGAAGATATATAGGCTGTTACTTTTTTATGAATAAGTGACATGTTGCAATTTATAAATTATATAAGTTATTAATACAATACTGAATTGATTCGATTGGATTCCATTTTCAGGGAAAGATGTGGAAAGCACTGCACCACCAGCCAAAGCTACAAAAACTCAAAGTAAAGACACACCTGGGGATTCTGGCTCGGATCAGCCTAAGTGAGTTAAATATGTAAAATATTTCAAATATAACATAACTAATTACACTTGCCACAGCTTGTCTGCGGGTTTACTTTACAAAGTATCCAATTCAGTCACCATCACATCAGTCATCTTTACTTTTATACATATTTATTGCACACCATAGATCACTTTAATCATCTGGGTGAACTTGGCCCTAGATGAATATATTACCCCTTAGATTGGCAATAATATGCTGATCAGGGATAGCCATTGTTTAAAAGGTATCCATAATTATATATGGGGGATTGTTTCTTAAGACAATTAAAATTATTATGGAACTAAAAATAGAATAACAAGAAACATCAGACTTAATGTAGAATAGAATTTAAGATGAGAAAAGAATATGAACAATATGTGAAAATGAATAAGGAGAACAAAGAAGGCAAAAAATATAATAATATATTATCATTTCAGCCTGTTTTAGTCTACACCTGAACATAGACTTTCCCCACAGACTGCCACCAAGAAAAAACCCTGAGCCACCTGCATTGTGATAATAATTCATGTCACTGCAGTGCTTTTTGAACCTTTGTTAGCACTAATTTAAGGTATATGGTTCCATCAACGAGAACCACTGACTACCGCTTGTTAAAAAAGAATAAATTAACTTAACAATTTCCAATATAAGGGATCTAAGTTGGATTGGGATTATGTAAAGTAAAAGTAAAGTAAAGTAATAAGTTGAAAAGCTTTCTCCACAATTTGTGTGTAACAATGCTCTTAATGGAACATTACAGAAAGAAACGCGGCCGGCTGGACCTGTCGATTGAGTCGGAAGAGCAGTATCTGGCAAAGGTCGAGGTGAAGATCAAGATACCGGAGGAGCTAAAAGTGTGGCTGGTGGACGACTGGGATGTGATCACGCGCCAGCAGAAACTGGCCATGTTGCCGGCGAAACTAACCGTCGAGCAGATTGTAGACAACTACCTCGCATTCAAGAAGTCGAGCAAGTCGCACAACTCCACCAAGGAGTCTGTATTGGTAGACATCACCGAGGGCATCAAGGAGTATTTTAACGCAACACTCGGCTCGCAGCTGCTGTACAAATTCGAGAGGCCCCAGTACAGCGAGATCTTGCAAGAGTACCCGGACACACCGATGGCAAGGATATACGGCTCGATCCACCTGCTGAGGCTGTTCGCAAAAATGGGCCCGATGTTGGCGTACACCGCCCTGGACGAGAAGTCGCTCCAGCACGTGCTCAGCCATATCCAGGACTTCTTGAAGTACATGGTCACGAACAGATCGACGCTGTTCAACCTGCAGGACTATGGCAACGCGACACCCGAGTATCACAGGAAAGTGCAGTAGGACTAAAGGAAAACAATAAAATGCTTCTATTACCTTACCTCCGAGTGGTTTCATTGATGTTGACATAAATAAAATGTTTGATCTATTAATGTCAGAGTTGCCAATTCAATAACCCTACTTCTTATTTGTTTTCAATTTTATTGCATAATTTTAGTTCTGCAAACTAAATTTATTTTTCTTTAATAACGCTGCAATGATGCTAGGTACTACTGTAATAATATCAAATGTTATTTACAGAAAAAATGTTTTGAAATTATTCAATACAATTCCTTTTTTAATTTCTTCATCCGTTTTGTCTCCTGTTACTTCTAAATGTTTCGGATTTTCAACAATGCAGTTGCGGATGCCTAGAAGTGTGCGTCAACAATAATATTTAAGCAACAAAATTGAACTCGTTAATATTAGTAGTTAGTAGAATTGTTAATTTGCAGGCATATTCTTATTTAGTTTTTTTAAGCGTTTTCTTAATATAAACTGTATAATTATTGCTCAATAAAAGGGTTCCTATGTATGTCTAGTGAAAGTATGTTACTTAGGTCAAATTTAAACTTGATATATAATTAATATTAAAATTTGTAGAAAAAGTACGAAAAGATTTGAGATTTTCTACAAATTTTAATGTTTGATTTTAAGCGCAGATATTAGCACAAAAATTTAAATATAATTAGTAATTATTTTTTACTGCATTTGTTGAAGAAAAGAATTAGTACAACTTTCTTATAATAAATTCCTGGAATTAGTAATAGATGTACTGTTCTTAGAAAAATCTTATGTTGACATGGCCACTGTACACGGAAAACTAAATAAATATATCCATGCAAATTTTTAATAAGACCATTAGTAAAGAAACTGCGATGATTGGCAACCTTGGTATCTGTTTTGTGTTATTGTTTTTAGTATGGGATAACTCAGATTCCGTCAAAAAGCACTATTACTACAAAAATATATTGGAGTAATATGCAAGTGTGGACTATACTATAACAATTTGAGTAGACACTTGTTTAAAAAATTAAACCTTACATGTTCTGAACATGTTTTCAAAAAAGTAAATTTTAGCAACAAAACTGTTTTTGTTCACACAAAGAATTCTTTAATAATTATAAAAATAAAAGTAATATTTTACATGTCAGTTTAAAACGATATTGGATTGACTATTGTTTTGCTCATTCTGTTTAATAAATTAATAGAATTTTGAATTAAGATATGTTTGTCCTCATTATACTCGTGAAATATTTGCATTTCAATATTGCAGAAATTTATTTATCATATTTCTCCAAAAAATGATAACTTGATTTCAATCTAAGCTCGTCAAACACAAAAACTCAAAAAACATTGCACCTATGCCATATTTTTTTTCACATTGCATTGCACGTTGCAACGCATGCCGAGATAAGCTAGATTTTAATAAATATCATTTTATATCGTACTTCTCATATAAAGATTGAGAAAATTAAGGCAGTAATTTAGCAAAATCAGCATAGTTTTTTAATTTTTCTTACAACAGTTGCAAAATTACCAACAGATGGCGCTAGTTGTGTACAAGTGAGAATCGCCGCCAACGGGTTCATTTCAACACCAGCATAAAAAGTATATATAGCACCATCTGTTCGTAATTTTGGAACTGTCGTAATTAAATTTATGCTGATTTTGCTAAAATTATTTTTTTACTAATTGTTTACATCACGCTGAACTTTTGTGAGGCTGTGGCAATTCCCCGGTCGAATGGGAGCTGTATATTAGACTATCTGCTTTACTTCAACTTCAAAATGGTTTATTTTTCACAACATTTTATATCACTAACTTTTTATAATATAAAAATCACTTTTCGTAATTAATTGTAAATATAATTGTATTTACAATATATTTTTTTTTTTATTATTTTGTTCGTCTAATACAGCCAGGATCAAAATATAGTGACAGCAATGAAAGTTGTCAGGTTTTGATGAATGAAAGTTTTGAGGTTCAGGATAGGCGCCCACAGCGCCCGATCACCTAAAGCCCGGTGGATCTGTAAAGGTCCCTAAGGCCAACAGTGGTTGATCCAGTAAAAAAAAGTCTGTTCATCTGTTGTGTAAAAATTATTCTCGACTAGCCTGTAACGGATTCACGTCTTTCAAATTGAAATTATACGTTTTAAAACAATTGGAGATGACTTCGTTTATTATATTACAATTACAAGTTTTCGTCTAATAATTAGAACATAATGTATGTTAAATGCTTAATTGTGTTGTAAAATACAACAAGAATACCGATCGTATACAATATCGGTCTCTTCAAGAAGATTATTTTACTAACAGTCCTGTTTATAAAGTAGTTCATGAATCTATCTGCACCCGTAAAAGTGAGGCTATCAATTCGCCAAGGTTTAAAAAAACATATGGTTCGTTATGACACTCAACTGAAACCTTTAGGCGAGACTAGACGTGACAATGCCACGTCTAGTCTCATGAAAGATATGCAATTGTGTTTTTCAAAATGAATTCCAAGCTATCAGTACGGTTTTAGACTGGGGTAACAATATATTACAACAACGTTAACCCAACCTTAGTAGGACGGCGGGACAGAAGAATTAAATATCTTTATTCTTTACTCTGGAGCCACGCAACCGGTTTCTGTTCTAAGTGAGTCGGCCCGTGTGGGAAAGCACAAGGGCCTGAAAGAAGATAAAGTGAAATTATTTGTTCTTTTCCATATCATATGCGTTAGATAACCAGAGCCTCTAATATTGACAGCACAACTGATATCCTGTGATGTGCGTGGTTGTCCATAGATGGTGGTATTCACTTTAACGAGTTCATCGTTAAAGTGAATACCGCCTAAGTCTTAAATACCGCCATCTGCGTGTACTAAGTGTACTATATATACTAAGTGTTTTGTACTGTAGTTTACCACACGAAAACGCGCTTCTGTGAATTGGGTCCTATCCGCGACTCTCCCGAACGGTACGTGGCAACACTACGCGCAATTGTTGTGGCGCTATCAGGGTCTTCGGGTGCCATAAATGGCGCGGAACACGTAGAAACGGCGAGGTCACGATACCGGCGCCGGTCTGATGCAGCCGTCCCATTAAACTGTTACGACACGACCAAAGCCGAGGTCCGGGCACATCTGGGCGCTGCAGCGGCCTCGGTCACGTTTCTCCGTTGTAATCCCTCACAATAAAGATGGATCGGGGCTGCATACGTTTTATTATTGACTGGCGACCCGCCCCGGCTTCGCACGGGTGCATTGTATTATACATATAAACTTGCTCACTCTATCTAGTAAAAAAACCGCATCAAGATCCGTTGCGTTATTTTAAAGATTCAAGCATCCATAGGGACAGACGAACAGCGGGACAACTTTTTTTTATAATATGTAGTGATGTAAATTTTACGTCTGACAACATTCTAGATCTTTCGCATGACGCCTTCGATGTTATTTATAAAAGGAATAGTCCTATTCCATACCTTTTCTCAATATTGTGAAACACACCACACTAATATAATTGATAGGCATACTCTGTACAGAGTATATACTAATTTTAAAATGTAACAGACTTTGCCTTAACGTAATCTGTTACAACGCGTTTATATTTATAGTTTTTATTGAAATTTATATTCGTAAAACGTCCTTACAACACAGGTATCCTAAATTAAGGGGAACGTTTTATAAAAATATAAAAGAAGAAAAAAAAAACATTCTGTTTGATTTACCTTAAATTTCTATAAATAGGTTTTCTTACAACGCGTGCACGTGGTAAATAGGCACTTAAATCAAATTATCTTAATACAAAGTTTAATTTAACGGGCACAGGAAATCAGGTAATCGAGTATACCTTCTGCATGAATTTACAAACGTCAACATTACTACCAAATTCGCCCAATAATGAATTCCTGTAATCTAATGAAAAATACTTGAATCCGAGGATTTAGAACATCGTCATGTTATATGTAAAGTAAAAAAGTAAAGTAACAGCCTATACATGTCCCACTGCTGGGCAAAGGCCTCCTCTATACAGATTGTATCAGGGCATAGTCCACCACGCGGCCCCACTGCGGATTGGCGGACTTCACATATCTTCGAAATATTTTTTTTGTTATTATTTCGAAAATATGCAGGTTTCCTCCCGATGTTTTCCTTCTACGCGGAGCACGTGATAAGTCAGCACTTAAAGTTAAAAACTTCATTGGTGCCAGCACCGGGGTTCGAACTCAGATTGCTCGAGTATATTGAGTTAAAGAAAAGCGCCCGGACACTGAGCTATCACGGCTCTATATCTCATGTTATATGTATTGTATTGTATTTTAATCATACGACAGAAATGCATGGAAAACATATGACAGAAATGTTTAACGTTCTTGGTTTTGTAAAAATGACGAAATCCGTTTTGCAATAGGCACTAGGCATTCTATATCTCCACCATTCTTCTCTTCATTTCTTTATATGCTATTTGAGTATAAACTATGGAAAACGTTTTAATATCCGAATCGAATGCTCAATATTTTTTTAACAAACAGAAAATATCTGTCCTACAAGCTTCGGACCGACTATAACATGTCATTGTTTCATGTTTTCTTTATTACTGCTTAATAAGTATGTTTTTAGGTCGAACGATAAGCATTTTCTGAACAAAATTATTCCTTTAAATATATCCTTTTGAGACAAGGACGCTGTCGAACGTAAAAGTTAAAATACACGTAATACTCGTTCGTACCATTGTTTTTATCGAATTTTTAATAAACTGTCTGTTTGTTGCAAATTTAGATTCGGAACTGGCATTGAAGGTGACATTAACTTTAATTACATGTAAACCGTTAATGTCTCTTAAATACGCAGCAAGCTATTTACATTAATTATATTATTATACTGATTGAGTTAACTGATGAACTGTAATGCGAAGGTCATTTGGCTAATTAAAATGTACTTTTTTGCTTTTTTTTAGTAGTATTAAAAAAACATATTACATTAACAAAATTATTGCACAATAATTCATGTATTTAATTATATTTTTGATC